AGCTGGAAACTGAGAGCAAGATAAGTCTCCTTTCTGAAGAAGCCTACACTCTACTGGGAAGAACATAAACAAATAGACTTCTAAATAAACAAGATAATTACAGGGAGTGGTAAGTGATAAGGAGAAAATTAAACAGGGTTATAAGCTAAAGCAGTGCCACTACTGGTCCACTATTGTTAATGGTCTGCAACAAGTACAGAAATTGCCAATAAGCACTTCAGAACTCACAGAAGTTTGCCATGGCCATGACATCCAAGAATATAATCAATAGACTTGTCTTGTTGGACAGGATATAGACCAAAAGAATTAGAACATGACAGATTAAGATATCAGAAAATGAGTCCTACTCCACAATCACAAATAGTTTGAGGTACACTGGGCTAGTGGGCAATGAGGTCTAGAAGTATATTGTTTAGAGTCATGCTAGTGGCTGGAACAAATAAACCCCAACATTTCAGTAGCCCACAAAATGGTTTATTTCGCATTCACAGAACCTCCCAAAGTGAACGTTTCTGGTTGCCCACATATTAAGTTAGGGATTCAGGTTTCTTTCACTTGGTGATTCCACCATCTCCTAAAATGCTTGGAGTCCTTTGAATCTAGGAAGAAGATGAGAGACTGGAGAACCCCCACTTGCTTCTTAAAATCTTCAGCCCAAAAGTGAATCCTTATACACTTTTGGATGGGAATGTAAATTGGTACAGCCACTGTGGAATATAGTATAGGGCTCCTCAGAACATTAAAAGTAGAACTACCACATAATCTAGCAAGCAATCTTGCTTCTGGGGATATATCCAAAGGAAAAAAAATCACTGTTTTTCAGAGACATTTATATTCTCATAACTACTGTAGCATTATTCACGATACCCAAGATAATAGAAACAACCTAGGTGCCCATCAACCCATCAACGGATGAAGGGATAGAGAGGATTTGGGATAGATAGATAGATAGATAGATAGATAGATACAAAGATTAAATCATGAGAAATACGAAATCATGCCATTCACAATAACATGGATAGAAATAGAACTTGAGGCCATTATGCTAGTGAGATAAGTCAGATAAAGACAAATACTGTGTGATAGCACTTATATATGAACTCTAAAATAGCCAAATTCACAAAAACAGAAAGGAAAATGATGGTTGCCAGGGACTAGGGGAAACAGGGTAGGCTATTGAAAGGATACATGCACTCAGTTATAAGATGAGTGAGATTAGTATCTAATATATAACATGGTGACTATGGTGGACAATACTGTATTGTATACTTAAAATTTGCTAAGAGAGTAGATCTTACACATTCTCACCAAAAAAAAAAAAGGTGACTATGTGAGGTAATGGATGTATTAATTAATTTGTTTGTGGTAAAAATTTCACAATGCATACATATATCAAATAACCATGTTGTATACTTTAAATATCTTATTTTTTTCAATTATACCTCAGTAAGCCGGGGGGGGTATTTTTTTAAATAAAGCTTTGGCCCTAAGTGTCATACATCTCTTCTTAGTCCATTGGACAGAACTAGTCTCGTGGCCTCAACTGGTAGCAGAGGCCTCTGGAAAAATGTAGTCTAAAATATTGGGCAGCCTATAGACACCTAGCTGGCTTTGCCACAGAAAGCCTTTCTAAGATATTCTTTGAGCTGAGACATGGAAGCACAGGTGGGAGAGCTGCTCCAAGAACTGTGAGAAGAGGGTTCCCAGAGTGGGAATGGCAATCACCAAAGCCTCAAAGCTGGAATGAGCTTGGAGATTCAAAGAACAAAAAGGAGGCCAATGTGGCAGTGAGTAATGTCACGTATCTTTCACTCTCTAAAGCAGGTGGGGTTCTCTCCTCCCTGTAAGAACTCTTGGAGGTGCTTTCCAGCTCTCCTGAAGAGGAAATCCAACACTCGTTCTTCACCTTCCATCTGACAAAGACTGCTCACAGAAATCTTTTGGCAGACATACGGCTATCTATCTTTAGGACCTCCAACCCCCTCCATGCCTGGCTCTGCACTGGGTGATGTTGGGGACACAACGGTGACCAACATAGATCCCTTCCCTGTCCTCAGGACTTCTGCAGTCCAGACAGGAAGACAGGCCCACCACCAAATGTGACTGTGAGTTGTTCTTTCATTTATTCTTTAACTCAGCAAAGTTCTATTGTGCATCTACTGCAGTGCCATTCTGGTGGTGTGTGAAAGATAAAGTAAGAAAAATGTTAAGAGTCCTGTGGGAAAAAATAAAGCATCGCAAGGGTGATCAGAAGTATTGGAGATGGGTGAGGGGCCACAGGTTTAAATAGAGAGGCAAATAATGCCCCAATTAGGATATGACTTTTTAGCAAAGGCTTGCAGGACTTAAGAGAGGAAACCAGATATATCTGGGGTGACAGTCTCAGGTAGATGGAAATGCTAGTGCAAAGGCCTGTAGAGAGAAGCCCATCTGATATTTCTGAGACATAGTAAGGAGGCCAGGATAGCTGAAGAGAAGTAGAGAATGGTTAGAGATGAAATCAGGGAGGTAACATAGGCAAGATCAAAGCAAGCACACTTTATTCTGAGTGACATGAACACATTGAACAGATAAGTGACATGTGCTGACTCAGGTTAATCAGCTCTCTCTGTGACTCAGGAAGGGAGCAGAGTATGCGGAACAGGTGATAGCAGGGAGACAGCTGTGTTTTCCCAGATGGGAGGTGATGGTATATGAGGCCAGAGTGGGAAAGAAGAAAAGGAAAAGCCTTGATGAATTTTAAAGGTAAACAGGAATTGCCGATGCATGATATAGGTATAAGAGAAAGGGAATTTTGACCATAGGAGCTGGAATCACAGAGTTGCCCTTGTCTGGGGAAGTAGGAGAGAAAAAAAGTCTAGGGAGGTACAGTGTAGTGATCCTTCTAAGGTTTGGGAGCCACGTCCTGGTTACAGGCCGGTTCAGAGTGGGCATGTGACCCTGCCTGAGCAAATGAGACTTGGATAAATGGTTTCTGGAGCTTTTGGTAAAGGGAAGCAGCCCACCTCTTCCATGCTATCCTCTAAAACCCCAACTTCAAAAGATGCAGGGTAAGTCATTCTGCAACTAGGTGGAAGAGCCTGGAACTGCTAGGATGAGAGGAGCCAAAAAAGAAGCAAGTGCTAGGAAGAGGAGGCACAAACTGGGTCCCTAATGACATCACCGACAGCATATACATACAGCAGATAGTTACTGAGCAGTCAACTGTGTACAGACACTGTTCAAGGAGCTTATGCATATTATCTCATTAAACCCCACAACAGGGCAGCCCTGGTGGCCCAGTGGTTTAGCGCCGCCTTCAGCCCAGGGTGTGATCCTGGGGACCCGGAATCAAGTCCCACGTCGGGCTCCCTGCATGGAGCCTGCTTCTCCCTCTCCCTGTGTCTCTGCCTCTCTCTCTCTCTGTCTATCATGAATAAATAAATAAAATCTTAAAAAAAACACACACACACACAACAAGGGACACCTGAGTGACCCAGTGGTTGAGTGTCTGCCTTTGGCTCAGGGTGTGATCCCTTAGATCAAGTCCCTCATCAGGCTCCCCCCAGGGAGCCTGCTTCTCCTTCTACCTGTGTCTCTGCCTCTCTCTCTATGTCTCTCATGAATAAGTAAAATCTTCAAAACAAACAAATAAACCCTACAACACTAAAAACAGGTATTATTATTGTCCCTGATTCATACATGAGGAAACTGAGGCTGCAGAGATTGAGAGACTTGCTCTAGATCATTTAGCCTGTGAGTGATGGAATAAGGATTCAAACCCAGTCAGGCAGCCCAGGTGCTTCAGTGGTTTAGCACTGCCTTCAGCCCGGGGCCTGATCCTGGGGACCCAGGATCGAGTCCCATGTCGGGCTCCCCGCATGGAGCCTGCTTATCTCTCCCTCTCTCTCCCTCCCTCATAAATAAATAAATAAATAAATAAATAAATAAATAAATAAATAAATAAATAAATCTTTAAAACAAAACAAACCCAATGAGTCAGACTGCAGAGCCTTTGCTCATAATTGCCTTCCAGCGTTTGAGCTGCTGGGTCATACCTCACTTGAACCAGGATAAACCAGGACACTTTTTAAATCACATGATGGGGATCCCTGGGTGGCGCAGTGGTTTGGCTCCTGCCTTTGGCCCAGGGCGTGATCCTGGAGACCCGGGATCGAGTCCCACGTCAGGCTCCCGGTGCATGGAGCCTGCTTCTCCCTCTGCCTATGTCTCTGCCTCTCTCTCTGTGTGTGACTAACATAAATAAATAAAAATTTAAAAAAATTAAAGCACATGAGCCAAGGTATTTCTTGTTTGGGAGGAAAAACACTACCTTGGGGTTTGGGGCATTTGTCATCATAAAGAGGCTTAGCTGTGGAAGGAAGTCCAGAGAAGATAATACAAACAAATCTGGGTGAGGTGGGGGGTACGATCAGAGAAGGCTTGCATAGGGGCTACATCTGAGATAAGATCTAAAGAATGAGGAGGAGGTAGCCATTAAAGATCATGAAGAAGGGTGATGGAGGTAGAGGGCACAGCAGGAATAAAATCCCAGAGGTGAGAGGAAGAGAGCCTTGACAGGTAAGGTCCCAATGAGAACACTGCTTTCATCTCTGGAAAGGGCTTAACCTGGGAATAAGTGTCCTCCACTCATCCAGATCATCTTTCCCACAAGCCCCTGCTAAGCCTCAACTCTGTCATCACCTGCGCCGGCCCCCTGCCCTCACCTGTCTCCTCCTCTGATCCACCATCCACAGAATACCCAGAATGTTCCCACACACACACTTTTAAAAAACTTTTAATTTCTTAATTTAGATATAGATAAGTCTACAGAATAAGCAGAAACAAGTCTAACAGACCCCCTGTGCCATCTACATTACACAAATGTAAACATTTTCCTATACTTGCAGCAGATCTCTTCTTTTTAGAAAGAAAATGTTGTGGGTGCAAAATTAAACCCCTCCCTCTTCTCTGTTCCTTCTTCCCTCCCTCCCTGAAAGAAACCACCAAACTCATGTTGCTGTAAATCAATCCTGTATTTTGTAATATACTTAATACATATATACACACGCGATGGTACAGAGTTGTTGCTTGGGTGTGCAGTATCCTTAGTGACTTCTCTCAAATCTTTCCAGCTCTTCACCTTCTGAGACTCACTTTCTGGTAATCTCAGCTGGCCCAGTTGATGTTTCAGTTGACATGGTCCTAAAAAGGCCAATTGTTATGAGGAAATTAGAGATAGGATGGTCTAAATGTGCCAAATATTGATCACAAATGTATATCCAAGAAGGCAATGATAAGAATCCATCTCTGGGTATTAATGCTGATAAAGGTTTTATCCCTCCAAAGTAGTGTCCTGTAGATGGCACTTCTTAAGCTTTAATATGCATACAAATCACTGCCAGATTTGGTCAAAATGCATGTTTTGATTCAGTAAGACCAGCAGGGGAGGAGCAAGGGATTCTGCATTTCTAACAAACCCCTAGAGCATACTGGTACTTGAACACCTTGTAAGCATCGAATTACAGGCATTATGTGAAAGCTTGAAGCCTGTCAAACAGGGACCAGGAGCAGAACACAGGTTAACTGTCTCAGTTTGGGGATTGTAATCATTTTATCATTTGTGTATTGAACAGACTGAACACAGCAGGGCACAAATATGACTTATATTTCTTCTTCCTCTGAGTAAGATGGCAACTTCACCTTTTTGCCTCAGCCTTTCGGGAAATGGAAAAGAAAACATCTTCTTACGTAGGAGGAAGAGGAAAGCCACTGCAACTTCCTCCATGAACAGCTTGAGGTAACAATAACTCCACAGACACCAAGAGTCCCTGCTAAGAGTGCATCAGAGTTCCATCTGAGAGGCTGAACCACTAGGGGAGACACACAGATGATGATAGATAGATAGATAGATAGATAGATAGATAGATAGATAGATAGATGATAGATGAATTGGGATTTAACCTTACACAATTGGAATTGTGAAGCAGTCCCTAATGTTGTGGTCCTAAGTGTCTGATGCTGGCACTCAAAGTACACAGAGCCAGTTAGGAAGGGAAGACAGATATAAAGTGGGGGAGGAGCTAGAATAGGCTGGTACAAGCAGGCCTCTGCCCTTGGTGGTATGAGCACCCACAGGAGAAGCTGGCATCCTTCATCACTGAGCTGAACACACACCTGGCCCAGGAGTTGGAGAAGCTGGGAGGAATATCCAGGAAACGGTGAAACAATTGCTGGCCTGGCTGCTGCCCTATGCATACACGATGAGCCAGCAGCCAGCCAGTGACAACCTGTGTGATCTCCAAAATGGCAGGCGCTTCACTTCTGCCCTCCACATCTTGCCCAAGAATCTCCATTGGTCCATCCTAATTGAAGGCACACCAAGAAGGTAATTCTAAGATACAGTTCCTTCAGCCTGGTCAAGCTGACACATTACAAAGCCACGGCACAGAGACTGGAGGAAACTGGTGAGATCATCAGTGACCGCTGGGGAGATGATAGCATGAGCAGCTCTGCTCTCCCTTGAGAACAGAGGCACCTTGAATCCATGTGTCTAATAACCTCTGGGTGGCTTTTTTTAAGAGTTGGAGAGAGGCTGGTAGTCGCTATCTCTTATTTGGCTTTAGCCTTCCTTTCAAAACACACAGAATCCTTATGTTTTAGCTTCAGTCAAGGTGCATCTGATTAGTTATCATTAGATTATGGTTATAGATGTTTCATTAAGTCATACTCCAACTTTCCATAATATTCCAACTTTTGATTCCAAAAATAACCAACTACTTTTAATAGACTTTATTTTTCATGAACAATCTTAAGCTTACAGAAAGCTACACAAAAAGTAAAGAAAGCTCCCATATAGTTCCTCTCCCTCCACACACATTTTCCCCTACTATCACCATCTTGCAGGTATGGTACCTTAGTTACAATTGATAACCAATATGAAACATTATTACTAACTAGAATCCATATTTTACACTAAGGCTCACTGTGTTGTACAGTTCTATGGCTTTTTATAAATGCATAATGTGATGTATCCAGGGTGTCTGGATGGCTCAATGATTGATCCTCTGCCTTTGGCTCAGGTCATGATCCTGGGGTCCTCAGATCCAGTCCCACATCGGGTTCCCCGCAGGAAGCCTGCTTCTCCTTCTGCCTGTGTCTCTGCCTCTCTCTGTGTGTCTTTCATGAATAAAATCCTTTAAAAATATATGATGTATCCACCATTACAGTATCATACAAAATAGTCTCACGCTCCTAAAACTGCTGAGCCTCACCCTTTCATCCCTACCCCCCCCCCCCACGTCATGATCCCCTGGAAATCACTGATCTTTTTACTGGTCCCTATAGTTTTGCCTTTTCTAGAATGCCATATATTTGTGATCACAGTCTTTCAGATTGCCTTTTCAGATTGTCTTCCAAAGCAGCTGTATCGTTTTGCATTCCCACCAGCAATGAATGAGTTCCTGTTGTTCCACATCCTCGACAGCATTTGGTATCATTTTGGGGGGTTTTAGACATTCTAATAGGTATATGGAGGTATCCCATTGTTGTTTTAATCTGCAATTCCCTAATGACATGATGTTTAGCAAATTTTCATGCTTATTTGCCATCTGTACATCTTCTTCGGTGAGATATGTTTATAACTTTTGTCTATTTTTAAGTAAATTGTTTTCTCATTGTTGGGTTTTAACAGTTCTTTGTATATTTTAGATACAAGTCCATCATCAAGCGTGTGTTTTGAAAATATTTGTCAGTCTGTGATTTTCTTTTCATTCTCTTAAACAGCCAGTACATTTTATTTTTTAAAAAAGATTTTACTTATTTATTCATTCATGAGAGACAGAGAGAGAGGCAGAGACACAGGCAGAGGGAGAAGCAGTCTCCATGCAGGGAGCCTGATGCGGGACTCAATCACGGAACTCCAGGATCACACCCTGGGCCGAAGGCAGGCACTAAACCAGAGCCACCCAGGGAACCCCAGCCAGTACATTTTAAAACCCCCTGAGGGCAGCCCAGGTGGCTCAGCAGTTTAGCTGAGGTTTAGGCTGCCTGCATGGAGCCTGCTTCTCCCTCTACCTGTGTCACTGCCTCTTTCTCTCTCTCTCTCTCTCTCTCTGTCATGAATAAAAAAAAAAAAAATCTTTAAGAAAAATAAATAAAAATAAAAGCCCTTGAAAGGCTCACAGACCAATGACAGACATGCTGTCTAATCAACTTGTTTTTTAATAGCAAAACACCCCAGAAAAAGCAGAAGGTTGACAATGTTTGAGCAAAATGGTACCTTTTGAGCATTAGGTATTGTGGAGTAGCAGCTGCCAATCTTTCTTCCAGGAAACCCACCTGGATTTACATCAGTCCCTGGCACCCTCTTCTACTTCTCAGCCCTTATGAAATATTTGAAGCTTGACAGCTTCTCCCCCAAATTTGCTATCCTAATGGTGACCCCATGGTCCCTTTGCCCTGGGCCAGCCAACTCTTGGATGTCCCTTAACTCCTCACACCCACAGGGTCCCACATTGTTATCAGCATCTCCCCCAAAGCTGTCCCTTCTCTCACATGCGCATTTCAAGGTCTGCTTCACCTAATCCCGGAGCCCCGGACCTCGCCCTGGACCTCTACTGCCAATCAATCTCCTGACCCACTCACTCAGTGCTCACCTCTCTGCTCCACAGCCCTACATGGTCCACCACTGCCCTCGGCGACCCTCCCTCATCCTGCTCCACCCTCCTCCTCAGACCCGTTTATTTTTACCCCAGCACCTCTCCCCTCATTTGCTTATTGAATGACTTCTTAGAGAGTCAGGCTTTGAACTGGACACAGGACAGAGCGCTGACCTCGGCAAGCATGTTCAGTGATAGGTCACGGAATGTTGCCACTTCTCGGGGCCCTTGTCCGAGGCGGAGTGGGCTCTCTGGATCTCTAGCCCCAGGACCCCAGCGCACGGACCCCGCACATTCCCTGTCCCAAACCGACCCGCTCCTGCTGTCTACTTTCTACCGCCCCTACCTGGTGATGGTGAAGCGTCTACGTCCCCCAGGGGACCCGAGCTCCGCAGCAGGGACGCTGGGGCTGTCATCCACCGCGGTGTCCGCGGGGCAGGGTCGGCTCACGAATGTCATGGAATGGGAAAGACGAAGGAACACCTGGAAGAACGCATGGCGGGGCGCTTTTAGGCTCATGCTCTCGGCCCCAACCCTCACTCAGACCTGAACCACCCTGTTTCTGACATCAAAGGGCAGTAAGTTTGGCATCTCCGTACCCGGCCTCGCAGGATGAAAGCCCCATTTTGTCACGCACATCAAGGGAGGCATCTGGGAGCTTCTGCCTCTTAGGGGCCACTTGGTGGTGAGCGGGAGGACGAGGAAAGAGAACGGGCCTTGCCGCTTCTCCACACCCGCTTCATCTTCACTCAAAGCGACCCAAACCGGACGAGCGAGGGACACGCACCCGCTCAGCGCCGCGGAGGAGCCGGGAGACCCCCGCCCGGCCGGCCGGCGGCAGCGTCACTTCCGGCGCGCTCGTGACGTCAGAGGCGGGCGCCGCACTTGAAGCGGGCGCGGGAGGCCGCCGCTGCGGCGCTGGCATGGAGTTGATGCGGGAAGCGCGGGAGCTGGGCTGCTGGGCGACGGAGGAGATGGGGGCGCCCGTCGCAGCCCGCGCCCCGGAGTCGACGCTACGCAGGTGAGGGACGCTCCGAGTGAGGAGGACTCCCCGCCCCGGAGATGGTCTCCGGCCGCGGGAACCCCGCCCCTCCCTTCCTCTGCCCCTGTGAGGATGGCCCTTAAGGGCGCCCCTCACACACACACACCCAGGAGTATATCCAGGAAGGGGAGCCTGGATTTAGGGACGACCCCCTGACGGGGACCCCCACACTCCCACCCCGTACCCGGAGCGAGGGCCGAGGCGCCAGTGAGGATCCTCCAGAGTTCCTGAAGCCCCCTTCTTGTGTGGAAGTAAGATCTTTGGAGTAAGACTGTCCCTGCAACGTCCTACCACCCCCCACCCACCCCAACCGGTAGGGGGGCTCGAGTCAATAAGGACCACCCCATTGGAGACTGAATCTATAGGAGTGATGCCCCACATCGCGTAATGAGAGCACCTCCTGGCAGTGTACCCCCCACCCCCTACTCTGGAAGTGGCTAGAGATGGGCCTTCTCCCAGGAGAAAGGAATCACCCCACCCAGTGAAAAGCCCACAACTCAGCGACGGAGAACTCCCCAGGAGGGAATGTCTCACCCCAAAAAGTATGGGCCCTCTCTCCCTGCAGAAGGGAGAATTCCCTAGTACAGACTTTCCCCACCACCACCACCCTAGGATAAGGATGATGTACCCTGTGTGATGCCCGAGGCATACCTTTACACACTGTCCCCACAGACTGTGTCTGGGCCAGGGGGCTGACATCTGGGCCTACGTCCTGCGGCATGTGCACAGCCAGAGGTGAGCCTGCAGCATGAGGGAGGCTGTGAGAGGGGAGGGGACACAGGCAAGCCCCACAGTAACACCTCTTCCTTCCGCCTCTCTGCTGTAGGAGTGTCAAGAAGATCCGGGGAAACCTACTGTGGTAACTGGTTCTAAAAGCTTTTAAAGCTCTTTTCCCTAGTCCCATCCAACTATGTTTTCACCCACAGTCTCATACCTCCTGTGTCCGTCCCGTCCCCCCCCCCCCCAAAGTCTCTGTCATCCCCTAACCCTGGTCTCGTTTCCTCAGGTATGGCCACCAGGACAGTCCAGAGGTGAGAAGAAGCATGCATGTGTTATAAGATTTTCTTTCATCCAAAAAGAGGACTTGTAGATTTCTGCTCCAGGCCCAGCCTTGTGCTATGTGGTGCTGGGGATACTGGGTCACAAGACAGCCCTGATCCCCACACTCAGAGGGCTTATAGTCTGGGGGAGACAGGCATGAGCTGGGCATTGAAGGGATATGAATATGAAGCATCAAAGCTGATGAGGTGAGCTGGGAGAAGGGACTGGTTTGGGAGATATACTGAGGCCAGTGTAGGACCTATTGTGTGCAAGGGGCCCCAGTAACATCTAGGGGAAGGCTTCCAGAAGACCTTGGGACCCCTAGATGTGGGGCTCAGTGGGGAGGTAAGAACTGGGGCAGAGATGTAGTGTCATCAGTGCAGAGACAGGAAACAGGAGGATAGGTGAGGCAACCCCAGGAGGAAGGAGGCGGCCAGATGGTACCCTAGTGTTTCTCTAGGCCTAGAGAATCAGGCATAGAAATTACTTGTGATAAACCCTCTGCCACCTACCTGTGCAGGCAAGGAGACCGGTCCTCCACAGAGAGCAGTCAGGCTGGGTCAAGCCCCAACCAGCCCATGCATCTAACTACCTCTGTACTTGTTCCCGCCAGGCCCGTCGGAAGCTGGAGCTGGAAGCCACTGTTGCTCGCCTGCGGGCAGAGATCCAGGAGTTAGACCAGAGCCTGGAGCTAGTGGAGCAAGAGACCGAGGCTCAGGGTGACCTATGGGGCTGGGAAGATGAGCAATGGAGTGGGTGTAGGGGAACTGCTGATGGCCACGTGTTTCTCCTATAGACATGGCCATGGAGCAGACCCTGCAGAGCATTCAAGACACCCAGCGTCGTGCTCTCCTCCTCCGGGCCCAAGCTGGGGCCATGCGAAGACAGCAGCATGGGCTCCAAGATCCCATGCAGCGGCTACAGAATCAGCTGAGGCGTCTGCAGGACATAGAGAGGTGGGCCTCAGGTGCCCAGGGACCAGCCTTCACCGGGCAGGCAGGCAGACTTTTTCCTTAGAGACCCAGTGCTCTCCCCTGACCCCTTCTTGGGTTCCAGAATTCTGAGCTCTACTCCTTAGGATTTGAAGTCCTTGAGGTCAGGAAGTTTTCTTATCTCAGCCACTTATTTTTCCAGTGCCTAGAATGGTGCTAACTGTATACCTAGGGAATGTTCTGGGGAAAGAACATTAAATAAGGGACAAGTCCCCACCCTTATGGAGCTTACACTATAATGCAGAGGAACCAGATGGTAAACTAGGGAGCAGGCGCTATAATTGCAGGGAAAGATAAATTCTATGATAAAAAAAGGTGATATGATAATAAGGGAGAAGGAGATGCTACTCTGGGGAGGATGATCAGAGAAGGCCTCTCTGAGGAGGTAACATTTGAATTGGGGGAGGAATCTCATGGAGAAGGACAGCAAGAAGAAAGGTGCTGAGCTCAGGATCTGGGAAGAACAGCCCAGAGGCCAGTTCAGCTTCAGTTACACAGGCAAAAGGGAGAGCATTGGGGGGGGTGGGGGAGAAGTGGACAGAGTGCCATATAGGCATTGGGATTTTACTCTGAGGCTGGGTTCATGTCTTAGCTTGGCCACTTACACCTCCATGACCTGGGGCAGACTACTTAACTTCTCTGTTCTTCAGTTTGTAAGTTCTATGGAATGGGGATAATATTAAATCTATTTTATAGGGTACGTGTGGGAATTAGGTGAGTTAAGTCATACAGAGCACTTGGAAGAGTTTTCTAATACCCATTGTTACTATTCTGAGTGTGGTGGGAAAACATCACATTCTTTTCGAGGGTTTGGGGCAGAGAAGTGATATGATCTGTCTGAGGTTCTAGTAGGATTATCAACTACTAGATGGAAAACAGACTGCATAGGGCAAGAGCAGAGGCCAGTGAGGACACTAATACAGCCAAAAGACGTCAGTAGCCTGATTTTAGAGGTAACCCCTGAGATCCAGGCTCAGTAACTGACCTTGTAGCAGGAGGAGACCCAGACATCTGCTCTAGCTCCCTTCTTTTAGGGACCCCTCCCCAACGCTACTCCTCTCTCCAGGAAGGCCAAAGTAGACATAACCTTTGGACCCTTGACATCAGCATCCCTGGGCCTGGAACCTGTGGTCCTGGTAAGAGTCCTGTGCCATGGGGTCAGGAGTAGGGAGTCAGGCCAGGTGGACGCCTGGGTTTGCCTCATTCCCCATCTTCTTCCCAGGGTGATGTCCGAACAGCCTGCACCCTCCGGACCCAGTTCTTACAGAAACTCCTAACTCCTCAGGCCAAGGGAGGCAGCATCCCGTGAGTGTCATCTAAGCCCCACAGACCCTGCCAAGAACCTGGCCTTGTCTGGTTCAGAGGAGTGACTTGTCTGTTAATTCCTCAGACACTGAGCCTCTGGACTGTTTCAGCCCCCGGCTTTGCCCTGACAGGGCTTCCAGGCTGGGACAAGAAAGAGACAAATCCATCACAGACAGTGGCAACCTGGGTGGTTTAGGGCTGTTAAGAGTATGGAAGCCTGGGATCCCTGGGTGGCGCAGTGGTTTGGCGCCTGCCTTTGGCCCAGGGTGCGATCCTGGAGACCCGGGATCAAATCCCACATCGGGCTCCCGGTGCATGGAGCCTGCTTCTCCCTCTGCCTGTGTCTCTGCCTCTCTCTCTCTCTCTCTGTGACTATCATAAATAAAAATAAAAATTAAAAAATTAAAAAAAAAAAGTATGGAAGCCTGAGAGACTCCAGATACCCAGAGGAGACACCTTCCTCAGCTAGGGAATCAGGAAGGACCAGTTCTCTGGTGAGGAGGCCTAGCCAGAGTAAAAGGATAAGACAGTATTCTAGACAGATAGCACATGTGAAAGGCCCTAAGGCCAGCTAGTTGATATAAGCAGGGAGCTCAAGTCTAGCAGGCCTAGGTGGACTTGGTTCCTCATCCTTGAAATGAGGACAGTGATACTCTCCACCTTACAGGGTAGTGGTGATCCGTAGAAGGAGAGTTGATGTATCTTATAATATTCTCTGTCCTTCCCCAACTCCACAGAACCCCTCGAGATGACCAGTTTGGAGCTTCCTACCAGCAGTGGCTAAGCTCAGTAGAGGTGACGGGTTGGGGGGGGCCACACCTTCTGCCCTGTGAGCAAACCTCAGGGTGCCAGGGCTCAACTCTTGATCCCCACCTCATTACCATGGATCCCAGCTCATAGCCCTGCCCCCATCTGGCCCTACTTCACCCTTCCCCCCACCAGACACTGCTGACAAACCACCCTCCGGGCCACGTCCTGGCCTCCTTGGAGCACCTGGCTGCAGAGCGGGAGGCAGAGATTCGGTCCCTGTGCAGTTCGGATGGGCTCCAAGAAACAGAGATAGCCAGTGTGGAATGGAGTGCTCCGCAGCGCAGGGCAGGATGGGTGGATGGGTAAGCGGGGACAGACTCAGGACCAGGCACAGTCACCTGGTGATGGGGGTGGAGCTGAAACCCAGTGACTGATCTGGTAAGTGGGCTGACTTTGGTCACCCCTGGACCAGGCTCCTCCTTCAGCAGTTTTACCCTACCCACAGGTCCCAGGCACCAGACCAGTCAGACTCCAGCCAGGCACTGCCTTCCATGGTGCATCTCATCCAGGTGACCCCCAGACATCCTTCCCAGGACTCCATCCCCTTCCCATCCCAAAGCCCACTTGATCCCCTCACCCCCTTGGATCATGTCCACCCTGACTTTGTACCCCTGCCTCAGGATAGCTGGCGGGCCGTGGGTACGCTGGTTGCCCAGCGGGGCCCTCTTCTGAAGGAGCGTCAGATCCTGACTCGGCGCCTCCAAGGCCTGATGGAGGAGGTGAACAGATGTAACCTGGGATCCAGTGAGAGGTGAGGGGGGTCCCTCAGCAGAGGCCTCTAGGCCATCTCTTTCCCAGAGGTCTCAGAATACTGGACTTTTTTCCTGCCCCTGTGGCTCGCAGCTCTGCCTCCCTGTTCCCCTCATTTGTTTCTGGCTCCTTGTGTCCTTACAGATCTGATCTCCCTCCTCCACTATGAGTCTTTTTTTTTTTTTTTTTTTTTTTGAGTCTTAGTTATCTTACTCTCCCTTGCTCTTTTCTGCTCTACCCCAGGCAGGCGCTGCTGCTGGGGCTCTGGGCCTGTGGCCTGCGGGCAGAGCTCAAGGCCCTGCATGCCCAGAACCAGGAGCTGGAGGAGGTGGCTGGGCGGCGGCAGCTTCTGCTACAGGAGTTACAGGCCAAACAGCAACGGATCCTGCACTGGCGCCAGCTGGTGGTGAGAGGTGGACCTGGGAGGGTGGGTAGTGGCAGTGCCTGATGGAGGGCCAGAGAGAGGCGGGGAGCGTTAGGACCCCACACTGGACCTCTGGTGGTGGCAAGAGGTCCAGGATGAGCCTCCCAAGAAGAAGCAGGACCTGTGCAAAGGGGAGGGCAGGGCCGGAGGGTGGGAGGTGGGAAGTAAAAGCCGCCCATCTCAGCGGCTCATGGTTGCCCAGGAGGAGACACAGGAACACATTCGCCTGCTCATCAAGAGCAACTCAGCCAGCAAGACCCGCCTGTGCCGGAGCCCTGCGGAGGTAAGGTGGGGCTTGGGGTGAGGGCTGGGGAGGCCTACGGCTCCTGGAGATGGGGCTGGGTGGCTCCAGGCTGCCCCTCCCTTCCCGTTCTTTCCCCACAGGTGCTAGCTCTGGTGCAGCGAAAAGTGCTGCCCACATCTGAGGCGGTGGCGCCACAGAGCCAGGAGCTGCTGCGCTGTCTGGAGGAGGAAGCCCGGCATCTTCCCCACCTTCTGTTGGGCACCCTGCTTCGGCATAGTCCTGAAGGGTAAGACTGGAGCCACCCCCCTATAGCCCCTCCATGGCTGACCACTGCTTCCTGATTCCACTCCCAAAAAATAATCCCAGGCCTCCAGTATTCCCAAGCAGCCAGACGTCACCCAAGACCTCATTCCCACTCTGGAATCCTCATCCCCAGACCCACCTCCACGTTCCTGGGGCCTCCTGAGCCCACCTCTCAGCCCCCAGAACCTCTGGTACCCAGGCCTCCCTCTAAGTACCCCACCCAACCTGGACTTTCCCCCAGATTGCAGCCCCTGCCCACGGTCCTGCCATCCATCCACCAGCTGCATCCTGCGTCCCCGAGGGGCTCCAGCCTCATAGTGCTGAGCCACACGCTGGGGCTGCCTTCAGGGAAGGTGAGTGCCTGTCCCCTAGGATCTGTCTTTCCACCCCTCCTGCTGCCCAAAGTGACTGTCCTTCCCCCTCACCCTCCCTTCCAGGCTCCGGAACTGCTCCTCCCAAAGGCCGCCTCTCTTCGCCAGGACCTTCTGTTCCTCCAGGACCAGCAGAGTCTCCGGTGCTGGGATCTGCTCCGAGTAAAAACCAGCCTGCCACCAGGACCATCCACCCAGGGTAAGGCCTGCCCTGCCCTCACAACCGGCATCCCTGCCCATTCCCAGGGCCATCACCCTCCAGAAGAAACCACAAAGACCCCTTGCTGACATAGTGCCTACTATGCACCGAGTGCTTTCTACTATGCACATAGTGCTCACTGGTTTCATTTACACGGCAGCCCTATGGGTTTAGCGCTGCCATTTGCCCCTTTTACAGAGGTAGGAACTAAGACAGGAGGCCTTGGTGGCTGCCTAGGGAGCAGAGCTAGTATTTAAATCCAGGCAGTCTGACATATCTCTGTACTCCTAACCAGGTGACACTGCCCATCAAATTGCCAAGTACTCACATATGAGCATCCAATATGATTGAGTACTTAAAAAGTAGGCTGTGGACTTAAACTCCTCTCAGCACTACTTCTACCCTGCTGTGCAATTTCCCAATGCCTCAGTTTTCTCCTCAGTGGAGTAAGCATAATCATAGTACCTTACAGAGTTGCTGGGAAGACTCAGTCCGGTTACCCAGTCAGGGCACTGAACAACGCATGGCATAATACTTTAATCGCTATGTGTCTCTGGTGTGGTTGCAATCATTTTGTCTCCACGTGTGCAGTCTCTTTTAGTCCTTATGATGAGGTTAGGGTGTTTTTTTGTTTTTTGGTTTTTTTGAGAGAGAGGAGGGGGAAGGGGCAGAGGGAGAGAGAGAACCTTAAGCAGGTTCCATGCCCAGCACAGAGGCCAACATGGGGCTTATCCTCACAACCCTGAGATCATGACCTGAGCCAAAAGCAAGAGTCAGATACTTAACAGACTGAACCGCCCAGGCGCCCCCGAGAGTAGGAATTTTTTTTTTTAATTTTTATTTATGATAGTCACACAGAGAGAGAGAGAGAGAGAGAGAGGCAGAGACACAGGCAGAGGGAGAAGCAGGCTCCATGCACCAGGAGCCCGACGTGGGATTCGATCCCGGGCCTCCAGGATCGTGCCCTGGGCCAAAGGCAGGCGCCAAACTGCTGCGCCACCCAGGGATCCTGAGAGTAGGAATTATTAAGACCAAATTTACAGATGAAGAAACTGAAACTTAGAAAAGTTGTTCATTGCTAGATTCCCTCAGGAAGTACTTGCTAGGTCCCTGCCAACTACTGGCCCTGAGAACTCAAAGGGGAGAGAGGCCAGAGCTTCCCATCCCCAGGGATCCCAGCAGCAAAAGCAAAGAGCACAGAATCAAAGGATAAATAGGTAGAAGAGGTGTATTGATGAGGAATAACTTGGGGTGCCATCAGCAAAGCAGGAAGAAACCATTTTCGGGCCTTTGAGTTTTGGGCTCCCTGCCTTCCCCTCTCCAGTGAGCAGGGAGCTGGGTGTGGGAATAGCCCAAGATGTGGCCCAGCATCATCCCACCACATGGGCATCTCAGATTTTAGTATGTCTTTAACAGAACGTAGTTCCATCTGTTCTGAAAAGCAGTCTTGCTTTTCTTCTCCCTGTTTTCATTCCCTCAGTAAATGACCGCGCCCCCCGCCCCCCGTCCTTACTGAGACCAGCAATCCAGGAGTCATCCGTAATTCCTCCCAGCACCCTAACCACCACCACCTCCTCCTTCGACCTATCAGCAAGCCTTGTAGGTCAAGCACGCCCTAGTCTGCCCCCCTGCCCCACTAGCCTGTGGCTCGGTTATACCTGACCGCAGAAGTGCCTGAGAAAGGTCATGCCTGAGGCCAGAAGACCAGGAAGGAATGGAGCCAGGATTCAGGCCAGGGGCTCTGGCTGTATTGCTCATCTATCTGTACTTGGTCTGAGATGGGCCTGTTTGGGGCCTGTGGAGAGGGACTAGACCCAGTCACATCTCCAGGGGGAAACCCTGCTGGAGCGAAGGGCTGTAGCAGTCTGAAGAGGAAGCCTTGGGGTAGGAAACAGTGGGAGGGGCTTCCAGGAAAGCTGGTGTCTCGAGTAGGCCCAGAGGGATAGGCGAGGTTTTAGTAGTAGCAGAGGCCACATAGCGCATACCTTCAAGTACTTGGCTAAGGAGCTCAGACTCTATCTGGGGGGGGGGGGGGACTGGGGAGCCTTGGAGGGTTCCATGCAGGAGAGGGAAAGAATCAGGTTTATGCTTTAGGAAGATCACTGGCTGCCATGTGGAGAATGGACCAGAATAGGAGGTTGAGGCCTGGAGCCTGGGAGGGAGGCTAGGGGCCAGGTGGGGGGTGGGGGGAGAAGGGGAGAGATGGGCCAAGGAGATTGATGGTCTGTCAAGGAGGGAGGAGGGTATCCAGGATGAGGCCTAGGGGATGGTGGGCTTGCCCCTGAGATGAGGACCTAGGAGGAGGGAGAGGTTTGAGAGAGGTGCTGAGGTCACAACTAAGTGACGGAGCCTTGGTGACCCATTGGCTGTGAGGCGCCTGGGAGTCAGGACTCAACGAGCTGCCTCCCTGCTTTCTCACCTGCAGAGCTGCTACAGATCCGGGCATCCTGGGAAAAGGAGCAGAAAGACAATCTGGGGCAGGCTCTGAAGCAGCTGGAAAACCTGCTGAAACAAGCACTGGAGCGAATCCCCAAGCTACAGGGGGTTGTGGAGGACTGGTGAGAGGGTGACGAGGGTGGGGCAGGGTGCTGAGCCGGGTGGCATGGGCAGAACCTGGGCGGTGACAGGCAAGCCATGGCGTTGGGGGAGGCTGCGTGTGTGGAGGCCCGGGCCTTGCGGTGATGCTGTCCGCTTCCCCCAGGTGGGAGCAGCCAGGCCAGGCCGCCCTGTCTGGGGAGCTCTGCCAGGGTCTGTCCCTGCCCCAGTGGCGACTGCGCTGGGCCCAGGCCCAAGGCGCCCTGCAACAGCTGTGCAGATGAAAAGGGGCCTCAACAGAAATCCAGAGCTTCATATTCACCCCTCCAGAAGACCTTTGGAAGAGAGAGAGCCTCACCAGAATGTGTCAGCCCGTTGTCTCCCTCATATGCTCACAGCCTGTTGTGTTCCTCTCAGCTGCCTTGCACATGTCCTTTATTCGTCAGAGCCAAGAGATAGGGTAGTCTGGACCCGCCCTAGGTCCCCCTGAAACTGCCCGCATCACTTTCACCTTCAGCAAAAAGTCATTGAGCTTGTGCTCTAAACACTGAGGATCTGACACTGAACAAAATGGACGCAAGTTCCGTCCTTCAGAGGTGATTCTAGGACAGGGAAGTAGACCTCTCACAAGTTAAGTGAGCAGAATAGTGTGTTGGAATATAACAGCTCTGGAGAAAAACAAAGCAGGCTATACGAGGTGTGACCTTAGGGAGAGGGCTGCACACACTCTGTAAAGGTAACGAGAGGGAAGCACGCGGGTATGTGAGGCGGGCTCGTCGGGGGCTGGGGTGGGAAGGAGGCAAGAGCTCAGGCAACCACCCTGAGCTCAAAGTGCTGGTGTGAAGATCAAGGATGTGGGGGCGTTGAGGGTTTGTCTTCTAGTTTTTACGTAGTTCCCTTTTTTACATTTAAATCTCTGAAGTCATTTGGAATTTATCCAAATGGATCCAATTTTGTCTTATTTTATATATATCCCATTAGCACTTAAAATTCTCAGAGCAGTGGTTCCCTCTGAAGGAGAGGTAGAGGAGGAGGCAAGGGAACTTTCTAGAGCTGGAAATGGATTATTTGTTGAAGGTAGTAGAGGTGGGTGTCAGAACTCATCTAGCTATACTCTTTAGGTCTGTGCATTTCACCATAAATTATTATTCTTCAACTTAGAAAGTAAAACTTTACCCACCTATATATAAAGTAAAACTTCAGGTGATTTGAGATGCCACCTCTTCATATGCTAAATTTCCACGATTAATCAGGCTATATCTGGATTCTCTCCAAGCCTATTGTCTGTCTGACTCTCGTGTGCCATCTCCACAGTGTTTTAATTATAAAGGTGTCGTCGTGTTTTATTACCTGAAATGGCTGGTTGCTGTCTTATTCTAATTTTTCAAGGTTTCTCTGTCTCTTGCTAATTTTTTCTCCCAAATGAAATGAACTTTATACTCAACTTGCATGGTTCCAGAAAAAATACAAACATGGATGAGAGTTTTACTGGGGTTGCAATAAATTTACAAATGAGGGAGATTTGACATCTTTGTGTCTTTACCACATTTCCTTTCCTATGTGCCACCTTAGTGTTCCCCTCCTCTCTTCATCTTGGCTCCTAGCCAAGACTGAACATGGGGGTCCTTGTCCCCCCTCCCTGTTCAATTTTCTTCCCTAGTACATCTTCTAACATACTTTGTGATCTACTTTATTAATCCTTTGTTGTCCTCCAAACAGAATGTGAGTTCCCTGAAGGTGAAGTTCACTATAAACTAGAAGTTGGACAAACCTTCCTAAGTATGATTCAAAGTCTAGATGCAGTAGTAAAAAGAAATACTGATGAAAACGTAAAAACAAACATTTGCAGGGTGCCTGGGTGGCTTAGTCAAGTTAAGCAGCTAACCTCGGTTTCCACTTGGGTCATGATCTCATAACATGGGATTCAGCCCCAAGTTGGGGCTCAGCAGAGAGTCTACTTGGGATTCTCTTTCTCTCCCTCTGCCCCTTTCCCCATTCATATGCACTCTGAATAAATAAATAATTTTTAAAAAACTTTTTCATGGGGGGATCCCTGGGTGGCTCAGTGGTTTGGTGCCTGCCTTTGGCCCAGGGCATGATCCTGGAGTCCTGGGATCGAGTCCCACGTCGGGCTCCCAGCATGAAGCCTGCTTCTCCCTCCTGTCTGTGCTTCTCTCTCTCTCTCCTCTTCTCTCTCTGTCTATCATAAATAAATAAATAAATAAATAAATAAATAAATAAATAAATAAATAAATAAATAAATCTTTTAAAAAAAACTTTTTCATGGTAAAAAAAAAAGTAAAAAGATGATAAATTGAGGAAATTTTTCAATTTATAAGTGGATTTGTGTGCACACGTATGTGTATGTCAAAGTAGAAAAAAATTCTAAGTCCATAGAAAAGTTGGCAAAATAAATGGACAATTCTCAGAAAATAGGCTCCAATTCAATTATAATAAGAGAAAAGTAAATTAAAACCCTACTTTGGTACATCTTCCACCCATCAACTGCAAAAAAGGAAACCTAAAATTTTGGAAGCTCACCATTGACAAGGCCATGGGAAAACAACACTTGATAACAGCAGTGGACATGCAATGTGAAACAACTAGGGGATAATTTCCAGCACACTCCATATGCATTTACTCTGCCTAAACAATCCTGCTTATAGGAACCTACCCCAAAGGTGTACTGGGTGAAATACAAGTTGGAAGATCTTGTACAAACAACTAGACTGTATTCAGAAGGTCAATGGGACTAGATTGGGGACTGTTAAAAGAGTAGTGACAACCAAATGCAAGGTAGGTCTTGAAGGAACCATGGAATTTCCTTTCAGAAGAGCTCTGCTGATGCTTTGCCAAGTGAACCATGGCAAGTTACATAATGTCATTCCTACAAATCCCAGTCATGTGGGGACAACAGGAAATTTGGAAATGGGAAACTCGTATGTTAGAGAACATTACTGTGTCTTTGTTAAATGTTTCTGATGAGATAATGGCATTGTTTTTAGTGGGAGAATATTCTTGGAGGATGTTTTTGAAGTATTAAGGAAAATGACTGCAGCTTTGAGATCGTTCAGAAGAGAATAAGGTAAAACGGACAGGGATGGAAGCCAACCATCTATGATTGTACACTGTTTCATACTTTGCACTGTGGAAACATAATTTTTCATAATTAAAAATATGAGAAGAAATCCCTAAAAATCGGGGGGGGGGGGAATGAACCTAACTACCAAGCTGGTGGCACAATTGATCCAGGTAAGAATTGTTCCAGGTCTTTTTCGCAACAGGTTTGCCACCAGAACACAGGTGTCGTGAAAACCACTGCTAAACCTAAACCAAAATGGGAAAAGAAAAGACATCAACGTCGTCATTGGACACGTAGATTTGGGCAAGTCTACCACTACTGGCCATCTGATCTACAAATGTGGTGGGATCGACAAAACCACTTGAAAAATTTGAGAAGGAGGCTGCTGAGATGGGAAAAGGCTCCTTCAAGTATGCCTGGGTCTTGGATAAAATGAAAGCTGAACGTGAACGTGGTATCAGCATTGATCTCTCCCTGTGGAAATTCGAGGCCAGCAAGTATTATGTGACCATCATTGATGCCCCAGGACACAGAGACTATCAAACACATGATTACAGGGCAGCCCCGGTGGCTCAGTGGTTTAGCGCCGCCTTCGGTCCAGGGCGTGATCCTGGAAACCCAGGGTCGAGTCCCGCATCGGTCTCCCTACTTGGAGCCTGCTTCTCCCTCTGCCTGTCTTTCTGCCTCTCTCTCTCTCTCTCCTCTCCATGAATAAATAAATTAAAAAAAAAAAACATGATTACAGGCACATCTCAGGCTGACTGTGCTGTCCTGGTTGTTGCTGCTGGTGTTGGTGAATCTGAAGCAGGTATCTCCAAGAATGGGCAGACTCGTTAGCATGCCCTTCTGGCTTACCCACTGGGTGTAAAACAACAAATTGTTGGTGTTAACCAAATGGATTCCACTGAACCACCCCACAGCCAGAAGAGATACGAGGAAATCGTGAAGAAAGTCAGCACCTACATTAAGAAAATTGGCTACAACCCCGACACAGCACGTGTGCCAATTTCTGGTTGGAATGGTGGCAACATGCTGGAGCCAAGTGCTAACATGCCTTGGTCCAAGGGATGGAAAGTCACCCGTAAAGCTGGGAATGCCCATGGAACCACAGTGCATGAAGCTCCGGGTTTCAGTCTGCCACCAACTCACCCAACTGATGAGCCCTTGCGTCTGCCTCTCCAGGACATCTACAAAATTGGTGGTATTGGTACTGTCCCAGTGGGCCCAGTGGAGACTGGTGTTCTTAAGCTGGGCATGGTGGTCACCTTTGCTCCAGTCACTGTTACAACTGAAGTAAAGTCTGTCGGAAAGCACCATGAAGCTCTGAGTGAGGCTCTTCCTGGGGACAATGTGGGCTTCAATGTCAAGAACGTATCTGTCAAAGATGTTCGTCGTGGTGATGTGGCTGGTGACAGCAAAAATGACCCACCAGTGGAAGCAGCTGGCTTCGCGGCTCAGGTGATTATCCTGAGCCATCCAGGCCAAATCAGTGCTGGAGAGGCAGAAAGCCCGGGTCAGGCGCCCCCTCTGAGCCCCTCCCCACACCAGGACCCTCGTCCCTCGGGGAGTCCCCGGCCGAGCCCGTCTACCCGAGAGGGGAGGCGCTCGGCAACCAGCCGCCTCCAGCCCCGCCCAGCCCCGGGCTGCTGCGGACTTCCCTGTGTTAAAGCTTCCGGAAGGAGCTTCGGTGGCACAGGCGGAGCCTGCGAACTTTTCTGAGCTCTCAAAGGTCCACTTTCCTCTTTAGGGATGGGGCCAGCGGCGGCACAGCGCTCTCATTAGCCCTTGTTCCTCCAATGAGGGCGTGGTCGCCTCGCTTGGCTGCACTTACTTAGATCCAGGTTCTTCATTGGTTCCTTTTTCCGCCACTCTGATTGGTTTATATTCCTCCCGGGGCGGGCCCTCCAGGTGTGGCCCTATTCTCATTGGCCTCGCTCCGCATGATGTCATGCACCAGCGCCGTCGCATTCACCGATACGTCATTCGCGGGCGCCCACCCCGACAAGACCAGAGAGTAGACAGCGGAACTGGCGGAGGCCGCTGAGCTGAGGCGGCAGTAGCGGCGACAGCGACGGCTGCAGCGATGGCCGGGGCGGGGCCAGCCCCGGGACTCCCGGGTGCAGGAGGACCTGTGGTCCCGGGCGCCGGCATGCCGGGCAAGAGCGGGGAGGAACGCCTGAAGGAGATGGAGGCGGAGATGGCCCTGTAAGGCCCGCGACAGGGCGCGATAAAAGCCGTCCCAGAGCCAGAGCCACCGAGCCCTGGAGCTTCCAGGCCGGAATCAGCCCGACATGGCTCTGTCGTGGGGAAATGGGACTTTCGGGATTGTGGGGGCGGGAGGAGGCGGAGGTTGGCAGGGGCGAAGGCGCCGTCGCGTTTCAGAATTAATGCGAGGTCCTGAGCTGTGGTGTCGGTCTTGCCCCCGCAGGTTTGAGCAGGAAGTTCTGGGGGCTCCGGTAACCGGCATCCCAACTGCTGTGCCTGCGGTGCCCACGGTCCCCACGGTGGAAGCGATGCAGGTCCCGGCAGCTCCTGTGATCCGCCCAATTATCGCAACCAACACTTACCAGCAGGTATGGCTGAGCTAAGGCATGGAAATCCGAGAGCACAGCGCTTTGAACACGGTGTTTGTATACAGACAGCTACTGACATGTGGACTTACTGATTAGCGTGACAGATGTTTCATGTGCCAGGCACTGAGAACACAGTAACAACTAAGCAAACAATATCTCTGCCCTTTGGGAGCATATTATTCTAGAGCACGTCGTCCTGCGGAACTTTCTGTAATGATAAAAGTATTCTGTACGTATTAAAATTTACATTTCAGTTAAATAGTTCCTCGGTCTCATTAGTCACATTCACCTGCTCAATAGAAAGTTGTATATGACATGTGGAGAGAGAAACTACTGAAAGAAAACAAAAGAAACTTGTTCCTTCTGTCAGTAAATAATTATTGGGTGCCTTCTATGCACCAGGCACATAGCAGAGAACAGTACAGAGAAAAACAATCACTATCTTTTTGTGGTTTACATTTTACTGAGGAAAGGTCAGTCAGGGTAGAGTAAAAAAAGGCAGAGGTTTATCAGCGTGGTCAGAGAAGGCCTTTCGGAGGAGGTGACAGTTGCGGAAAGATATCCATGGGGATATCTAGGGGAAGAGCATTCCCAGAAGAGACAACTGCCAACGCAAGACGCATACCTGACAGGTGCATACCTGACATGTTCAAGGAACAGTGTGGCTAGAGTAGAGTGAACAGTGTGGCTAGAGTAGAGTGAACAAGGTGAAGAATGAGAGACGATGAGGACAGAGAGGTTATAGAGACCAGACGTGGTAGTGCCTTGTGGGCCACCATAAAGACCTTGGTCTTTGCTCTGAGATGGGATGTTGTTGAAGGATTTTGAGCAGAGGGGTGATATGGTCCAACTTAGATATTAACTAACTATA